CATCGCTTTTTTTAACCTATCAACAATTTCACATGGAAAAAAAAGCAAAACATAAGCCCCACCCACCCGCCCTATCCCAATTGTGACGATTTTTCCTCATTCGTCGTGAGCCAGGAGAGGCGGGGCTTAAGTTAGCCCTTTTTTTCTGTAGATACATAATCTTCTTTTCACAATATATTTGAAAACATATTGAAAATGGTGAATTTTTGTCGGGAAATATTGATTATACATTTACGCTCCGCCTCTCGCTCTGACCACGAATGAAAAATTCATCACGTTTGAGGTTAGGGCGGGGGGTGGGGCTTATTTTTTGACTTTCTTTTTTCTTGACATATATAGTTTTCTTTCAACAACACGATACTTTAAACATATTTCACATGGTAATTTTTAGTAGAGAAAATAAGGTTTTACTCTCCTGTCAACATTAACTTAAAATATCAAATGGTGAATTTAAGGTTAGAATTATTATCTGTTAAATATTGTGTTGTTGAAAGCAAACTATATATTAAAAGAAAATGAGGAAACGATTAAGCCCCACCAACCCGCCCCTATCTCACTTGTGATGAATTTTTCATTTGTTGTTAGATCGAGGGGAGGAGCTGAGTTGCAAAATTAAGATTTTTCTACAGTAAATTACTATTTTTAACAAGTTTTAAATTTCTTATTGTTAAAGATGGCTACGTATATTAAGAAAAAAAAGGTTAAATACAGCGTGTTATTGAAAGATACGTACAAAATAAAATCTACAATTGGTCTCGAAATATGGGTGCTAAAAGTAAAAAAAAGTTCAGGTAAAATTGTTCTCCTTTTCGAGATAAAAATTATTAAAATTTATATCCAAATTCGTTGTACGCCTCTGATAAAAAGGTCATCTTTCGTTTCTATAGCAACATTTAGTCTTGACAAAAGTTTTATTGTTACAGTTGCTAGGATTTACTAAAATAAATTAATTTTACCTATTTATCCTTCAGCAGCGTCTACAAAGGTTGAATAAGGGTTAATTTTCCCTTATAATTTTGATAACACAAAATAATTTTTTCAGGCTTCTTTTAGACTTCGCGAAGAACTATCAGTTTTGTTGTACGTACCTTTCAATAACACCTTGTATAAGCCCCGCCCATTTGCCTTCATGTCAATTGTGATTTTTTTTATTTGTCGTTAGCCGGGGGCGGGGCTTAATTGGAAAAAATGTATTTCTCTACAAAAAACTTGTTATCATGCGCAACACGTTGTAAATATTTTGTTGAAAGAAAACTATATATACACATTTAGAAAAAGAAGCGAATATTTAATATTTATTTTAATGCTTCCTAAGATACGACTGATATTGGCAAATGAGGGACCCTCCAAGAAAATAAAGGGCGGGTGGGCGGGGTTAGTACTTGCTCAGATAAGACTGATTTTGGCAAATAATATGTTCCCTAAGAAAATAAAGGGCGGGTGGGCGGGCCTAGTAGAAATTGTCATTTCCCACCAAAATCACACCGAAGTTTCTAAACTGTCAACAACGTCATTTCTTTTTTTTTTTTCTAAATATACATAGTATTTTTTGAACAACACGATACTGAAAAATATGTTTTTAATTTCTTCTAAAGAAATAAGTATTTTGCAGTTAAGCTCCGCCCCCTTGCTTCACGACGAATAAAAAAAATCATCACAATTGAGACAGGGCGGGTGGGCGGTCTTATATTTTGCCTTTTTGTTTGAATTTGTGTAGACTTCTTTTTAGAACATGAAACTTAAAACATGTTTAAAATGAAAGAGTTGAATAAGGAAATATCGATTTGCAGTTAGGCTCCGCCCCATAATTACAAAGTCCATATTTCCTTACAAAATGTACCATTTTAACCATGTTCTAAGTTTCTTGTTGTGAAAACATGGCTATGTATATTAAGAAAAAAAAATAGAGGGAGGGTGGGCGGGGTTAGTACTTGCTAAGGTAAGACTGAGTTTGGCAAATAATATATCCCCTAAGAAAAGAGAGGGCGGGTGGGCGGGGTTAGTAGAAATTTTCATTTGGCACCAAAATCACACTGAAGTTACCAAACTGTCAACAAAGTCATTTCCTTTTGCCCCACTTCGTCCGTCGTGGCGCCCACAAAAACGCCTCCCTATCTTGCCTTCAACCCCGTCACCCCCGTGGGGGCAACTCAACATTAGAAATTAGTTCTATTAAAAATTAAAGTCACTAGATTCATATCTTTCTAGTGACTTTATTAAAAATCGTCCCCCTGCGGCACCTTATGTTGCGAATTGGAACTAAAACTACTAGCGGGAAGATTCAAAATAAAACTGAGTTTGTTTGGACACAGTTGGAGTTTCACCTAAAGGTCTGATGACGAATTGTTAAGTTCGAAACGTAGAAATGACTTTGTGTATGCAGCGAAAAACGGTTATTGTAACAGTCCTTGACAGGTTTTTGACACCAAACAACATAACCTAGAATTTTAGTTGCGTAATGCAACCAACATTACAATTTCTTTTCTGTATCTAATTTTTACAAAATTTTATGAATCATAAAGTTTAATTTAATCATGAATAGTTTGAAAAACAGGAAACGCTCTTTTGAATTATTTATTTGAACAATTACATTTTATTATAAGATTAATATCAAATACAAAATCCAGCCAAAATCATATCCATATTTGACATTTAAATTTCTTCAAACTCAGCTTTTACCTCGTGTTGCACTATTTCAATTTCATCTTTTATAGTTCCCTGTGTTTCGTCGTTTTCAACTTTCATTTTTCCCGGCTTTTCTTCATACTTTGCATCCGTGACAAGTCTCGCCATCGCCTTTTTTAACCTGTCGACAGTTTCCGGCTTAAATTTTTTTATCGTTCGTGAAACGTCATAGAAAAATAAGTCCACGGGGTGAACGTATTCCTCCTTTTTTCTCTTCTGTGATTCCAAATCGTCTGTCTTCCACGTCTGCGCCATCTTGGAAAACTGAAAAATAATATCACTTAAAAATTTGTTGCACATTTGTACAAATATTTACTTAATACTTAGCTGGACGACGCAACACTTGTTTCTTCATTCTTCTTGGCTTCTTCAATTTCCGCATCAACGATAAGATCCCCGATGGCTTCCTTCAATCTGTCGAACGTCTCTGGTTTCATTCTCTTCACTGCGAGTGCAAGATCCTTGAAAAACGCGCCCATTTTTTCTAAAAACGTCACATTTAAACAGTGTTTTGACGTTTGTCGCCGATTTTTCAAATAAGAAAACACTCGTTTAAATTATTTATTTCAACAATGCTATAAGCTTAATGTCAAATACAAAATCATACAAAATAATAGAATATTTTAAGTTAAAGCTCCATGTTTTCTTCCATTTCTTCGATTTCGGCGTCCATCACAAGATTCGCCACTGTTTGCTTCAGTCTGTCGATGGTTGACGGTTTGAATTTCCTCACAGTCTGAATAACCCCTTCGAAAAATGACTGTATTGATTGGACGTCTTGTTCGATTTCCATGTCTTCAACGTCTTCTTCGCCTATGACCTCCTCAAGCTGCAGTTCTTCCTCTTCGTTTACAGACTCGTCCTGGTTGGTACTCGTCTCGCATTCATAAACTATTATATTAATACTATTTGCGCCGTTTTTTCTCCGCATATCTCTTTTACAGATATGGGGTATAAGAAATTGCAGCTCTTCTTCGTAGCAGTGGGGTTTAAGATCTATTTGAAGACTGCGTTTACGCATGTACTTGACGAACCCATCCCGGATGGTTTTCCACTGGCTTCTTACTGTATCCACTGAAACGAGAGAATTCAAATATGAAAGCAAAAATGCACGCGAAATAAAAAACGTTTCCCTTGCAGAAATACAATGACGTCATTTCAAAATTTATTAAAGAAATCTGGTCCTCTACGCAGTACATTATTGCAAATGTTTCCTCGTCACCCAGTAAAGTTTAAAGTAATCAATTCAAGCCGCAACTGACTCGACGCTAATTTTTGCTTTATTTTATAATAATTTCGTTTTTGATACCCAACACACCCTCCGCCACTGACCTGTTGCGACATCATTTCGACCATAAACAATCATGGCGACCTCCATCCATTTCTCCATCGTAGTTTTTCCATATTTTTGACACTGTCTTCTGGCTGCGGTCAAAGACTGGTCATACAGGAACGGTCTTTGGTGCACTGCCTCGATAATTTCTTTCGCACGGGCTATTTTTTTCGCGGCCAACCTGTCAATTTGCGACTCTTTAACATGACCCTCCAAGAAAATAAAGGGTGGGTGGGCGGGGTTAGTACTTGCTAAGATAAAACTGATTTTCTCAAATAATATATTCCCTAAGAAAATAGAGGGCGGGTGGGCGGGCCTAGTAGAAATTGTTATTTCCCACCAAAATCACACCGAAGACTAAACTCTCAACAAAGTCATTTCTTTTTTTTTTCTAAATATACATAGTATTTTTTGAACAACACGATACTGAAAAATATTTTTAATTTCTTGTAAAGAAATAAGTATTTTGCAGTTAAGCTCCGCCCCCTTGCTTAACGACGAATAAAAAAAATCATCACAATTGAGACAGGGCGGGTGGGTGGGCTTATATTTTGCCTTTTTGTTTGAATATGTGTAGACTTCTTTTCAGAACATGAAACTTAAAACATGTTTAAAATGGAAATGTTGAATAAGGAAATACCGATTTGCAGTTAGGCTCCGGCCCATAATTACAAAATCCATATTTCTTTACAAAAATGTACCATTTTAACCATTTCTAAGTTTCTTGTTGTGAAAAGATGGCTATGTATATTAAGACAAAAAAGGCAAAATATAAGCCTCGCCCATCCGCCCTATCTCAATCGTGATGAATTTTTCATTCGTTGTCAGAGCGAGGGGCGGATTTTCCTATACAAATTTACCATTTTAAACATGTTTTACTTTTCTTGAAGAAACATGAAAAATTTATTGACTTGGCACCACTGCGGGGTTATGTTTAGGGAATTTTGTGTCCCCAAACTTGTCATAATGAAATTATTGCGCGAAAAAAGACAAAATAACTTTATTGCGTGGACCAAATAATTACAAAAAAATCGCGTTCAAACTACGTCACGTAGACATTAAGTTCATAAACAAGTCTTTTTTCTGATGTTTTAACAAATTATGCATCTTAAGAGTATTCATCCACTCAGTACTAAACGAACACTGATCGCACTGAAAAGTCACCGCCGCCTTTTTCTCAACGTACTTGTTCTTCTCGTGCGCCTCTTGAATATGCTTGCTCAAACACCGCCTGCTCACAGTTTTCAGTGGACAAAAAACGCACTGAAACACATTGTGGCCGTTACAAAACGCGCACAAAAACACGTTGTGTCCAGATTCCTGTATTTGCGGGCAATTAATGGCCAGAACTTTCGGAATTTCGCGATCCCTATCGGTGAACTCTTTCTTATTGATTTTGTGTTCGACTTTGTAAATGTAGCACGAATGCACTTCTCTCATGTGTCGCTTCATGTGATCAGCGCGTATCGTTTTGTGCTGGCACACTTTACATTCGAACAGTGGAATTTGCTCGACTGAGGTGTGTAGGGCTCTGATGTGTCGTTTCAGCGAGCTTTCCTGGCGCGTTTTGAAGGGGCAAAAGGCACACATGACCCACAAGGAATCTTCGCCGACATGACTAGACATGTGCTTGTATAATAGACACTTCCAGTTAGTGGTAAACGAACACTTTTTGCACGAAAAGTTTGACAGATTGCACTGTAAGGGACACCGTTTGCACTTGTGAAGTTTGTGGTTTATGTAAGAGTTGTGGTTACGGATGTAGTGATTGAACAACATTAGAAGTGAGTGAGTTTTGTAGCTGCATTGCTCACAAACTTGTATTAGAGTTCTTCGGTGTTTTTTTAAGGTGGTGTTTAGATGTTCGTAAGTGTGATGCTTCAAGTCCACTAGTAATTGACTGTTGAATACACATTGGTCACAGTAGTAACTGGTCAAGGTTTTGGAACAGTGAAAATAATTTGGGAATGTGGGCGACGATGTCACGCTTTCCAGGCGATTGGGGTCTTTATCCGTCTCCATTCGAATTACATAACCTCACTTTGTATTTTTGGTACTGGAGATGATACCACAGACTATATTAAACAAAAGCCGTTACATAATAAGTCCAAAAGACAATATTTTAACTACGTGAAGTTCAAATTAATGCCACAGTTAGCAAATACTTATAAAGAGGTAATTGTGGGTACACATAACCCCACTTTGATTAATTATTAATGCTGGAACATAAAACATATGATGTAAAATAAACATTAAGTAAAATTGTATGTAAAAATTACCACAAAAAGAACGTTCTGCTTGAAAATTAAGTGAAACTCGTACAAATTAAATTAAAATATTTCCACAACTGTCATCGTAGTGACATATAGTGACATGAGTGACATTGTCAAACACAAAGATATTGGAAAAATTCAATAGATGGTTCAACGTCAATCAAATTTGATAAAATTTTACAAAGTAAATCCTATTTAAATTTTCTAAAGTAACATATCTGTCAAGCCAAACCGAGTCGAGTATGTTCCCTACGTATATACGAAATGAACGGGTTTGTTTATAAACAAAGAAATGAGCCTAGAAATACAATGTCTGTGGTCAAATACTTATGTCAACAAACTGTACATAACCTCACTCTTCTCTGAAGAAAAGTTTAAATATTTGGCACCCGAACTGGTAAAACACGCCGGAATTGTAACCTTTTCCTTGAAAACATTCTTCTAGAGTACTTTCCGCCCATAAAAATGACCACATACTTGCAAGAACTCCTTCAAGTGACCCCACCTGTGATAATCAAAGCCGAAGAAAACAAACCTCTGCACTCACTACAGCCCCAAATCGACCCCCCAAAGCCGCCGTACCACTGCACCAGCAACCTAGAAGTGTACATGTGCACCCACTGCGGCATGTCTTCCTCTTTCAAAGTCCTACTCCACGTCCACATCCTCCTAGTCCACAAACAGTCCCCGGAAAAACACATCCAATACGAACCCCACCAGTGCCAAAACTGCCCCTTCACCACTTTCTCCCTCCTCCTGCTCTTCAAACACTACCGCCGCCACTGCATCATCCACAAATGTAAAGAGTGCCCCTTCAAAACCTTCAACAAACCCAACCTTACATACCACATCAAAAAGCGCCACCTCTCCAAACTCAAAAAACCCATCACCTGCCCCCACTGTGCCTACCGGGCCAAAAGCAGCCAAGTCCTCGAGGCCCACGTTCTGAGCAAACACACCTCGCCGGAGAACATCCAGTGGGTGGAGTGTGACCTGTGCTCCTACCGAGGCAAGCATAAAGAGTATTTGCGCAAACACATGGCTTCCATGCACAGAGTCGTCTCGGCGGATAAGTGGTTCGAATGCAACCAGTGTCTGTTTCGGGCGTCGTCGAGGTATAGTTTGAAGTCGCACAAACTGGAGCAGCACACGCTCCAGAATAATTATAAATGTAGCATGTGTGCGTTTTCGGCCAAATGGAAGATACATTTGAAGCGGCACGAGCTCGAGAAGCACGCCTTGCCGGGGGAGATTAAGTGGTTTGAATGTGAACAATGCGACTTCAAGGCGAAGAGGAAGAGCAACTTGAAGCAGCACGTGCAGGCGAGACATGCTGAAGTGGAGGAGTGGTTCGAGTGTGAAGAGTGCGGCTGGAAGACGAAGTGGAAGAAGAATATGAAGCTGCACAAGGAGCGGATGAAGCACGTGGGGGAGAACTTGTAGATTGTTTTTAGTTGTTGTTAAACTGACTGAATTTGTTGTTAAATACGTTCGAATAAATCCGTGACTGTTTTTGTTGTTTTTTTTTTATTTCCTAAGCTAAATTGTGTAAGTTTAATCAAAGAATTTAAGTGGGATTTAGAAAGTTGCTGTTGACGTTGAAGTTCCCGTTGCAGTTGCTTTTAGAGCTGAAAATTCTCATTTATAATAATAATTAATTAAAGTTGATAGTAATTTTGTTGTTCAATTTTTGGCCGTATTTAAAGGAGTTGTAGAAAAAAAGTGGCGGATTTAAGTTAATTATTACAAAAAATCACCATTTTAGACATGTTTTAAGTTTCTTGTCGTCTAAATAATTTTACACAAATTAAGAAAAAAAGGCATTATCTTTTATTAATAATCGTTGCAAAATCGATATTTCCTTATACAAATTTTCCGTTTTAAACATGTTTTAAGTTTCATGTTGTGAAAATAAGTCTACATATATTAAAACAAAAAGGCAAAACATAAGCCCGCCCGCCCACCCTGTCTCAATTGTGATGATTTTTTTATTCGCCGTTAACCAAGAGGGCGGAGCTTAACTGCAAAATACTTATTTCTTTACACGAAATTAAAAACATGTTTCTGAATATCGTATTGTTCAAAGAATACTAAGTACATTAAAAAAATGGCAAAATATAAACCGCACCCACCTACCCCATGTCAATAGTGATGATTTTTTTATTTTTAGAAACCTAAAACACGTTTAAAAAGGTAAATTTTTCTAAAGAAATACGGATTTTGCAATTAGGCTCCGCCCCTAGGTCTGCTAACCAATGAGAACATCATTATTATTTAGATCGGGGCGGGTATGGGTGGGGCCTAATCTTTGGTTCTAATTTTTTCTTAATATCCATAGTATTAAGTAAACTTAAAACATGTTTAAAATGGTAAATTTGTATAGTAAATTATCGATTTTGCAATTACGCTCCGCCCCTCGGTCTGACAACGAATGAAAAATTCATCGCAATTAAGATCGAGACGGATGGGTGGAACTTCTCTTTTGGTTTTCTTTTTTAAGTAATACATTTAGTTTTCATTGTATAACACGATTACTTAAGAACATATTTCACATGGTAATTTTTCCTAGAAAAATAAGCAGTTTACAATTAAGCTCCACCCCTCGACTTATGACGAATAAAAAAAATCATCAGAATTTTGATAGGGCGGGTGGGCGGGGCTTATATTTTGCCCTTTTTGTTCTTAATATACATGGCCATCGTTTCACAACAAGAAACTAAAACATGTTTAAAATGGTACATTTTTGGAAGGAAATATGGATTTTGCAATTATGGGTAAAATTTTTCATTTTAAACATATTTTAATTTTCATGTTGTGAAAACAAGTCTACACAATACATATTAAAACAAAAAAGAAAAATGTAAGCCCGCCCACCCGCCCTATCTCAATTGTGATAATTTTTTTATTCTTGGAAACTTAAAACACGTTTAAAATGATACATTTTTGTAGAGAAACGTGGATTTTGCAAATAGGCTCCGCCCCTAGGTCCAGCAACGAATGAAAACTTATTAACTACATATTTAGATCAGGGCAGGTATGGGTGGACCTTCAACTATGGCTTTAATTTTTTCTTAATTTACGTAGTATTCTTTCAACAACACGATCCTCAAAAACATGTTTTTAATTTCTCCTAGGGAAATAAGGAATTTGCAGTTAGGCTCCGCCCTCTTGGCTAACGACGAATAAAAGAAATCATCCGGATTGAGACCGGGTGGGTGGGCGGGGTTTATATTTTGTTTTTGTTTTTCTTAATATACGTAGCCATCTTTTCACAACAAGAAACTTAAAACATGGTTAAAATTGTACTTTTTTGGCAAGAAAATATAGATTTTGTAATTATGGGGTGGAGCCTAATTGCAAAATCGATATTTCCTTATACAAATTTTCCATTTTAAACATGTTTTAAGTTTCATGTTGTGAAAAGAAGTCTACATATATTAAAACGAAAAGGCAAAATTTAAGCCCGCCCACTCCCCCTGTCTCAATTCTGATGATTTGTTTTATTCGCCGGGAACCAAGGGGGCGGAGCTTAACTGCAAACTACTTATTTCTTTACAAGAAATTAAAAACACGTTTTTGAGTATCGTGTTGTTCAAAGAATACTATTTATATACTAAGAAAAAAGGCAAAATATAAACCCCGCCCACCCACCCGATCTCAATTGTGATGACTTTTTTTATTCTTAGAAACTTAAAACATTTAAAATGGTATTTTTTTTAAGGAAATATGAATTTTGTAATTAGGCTCCGCCCCTAGGTCTGTCAACAAATGAAAACTTCATTACTATTTAGTTCAAGGCAGGTATGGGTAGGGCCTAATCTTTGGTTCTATTTTTTTCTTAATATACATGGTATTTTTTAAACAACACGATACTCAAAAACATGTTTTTAATTTCTCGTATAGAAATAAGGATTTTGGAGTTAAGCTCCGCCTTCTTGACTCACGACGAATAAAAAAAATCATCACAATTGAGATACGGTGGGTGGGTGGGGTTTACATTTTGCCTTTTTTTCTTAATATGTATAGTTATCTTTTTAAAACAAACTTAAAACATGATTAAAATGGTAGATTTTTAGAAGGAAATATGGATTTTGCAATTATGGGTCAAATTTTCCATTTTAAACACATTTTAATTTTCATGTTGTGAAAACAAGTCTAGACATATTAAAACAAAAAAGAAAAATGTAAGCCCGCCCACCCGCCCTATCTCCATTGCGATGATTTTTTTTATTCGCCCTGAATCAGGGGGGCGAAGCTTAACTGCAAAATATTTTTTCTTTACAAGAAATTAAAAACATATTTTTGAGTATCGTGTTGTTCAAAGAATACAATGTATATTAAGAAAAAAAGGCAAAACATAAAACCTGCCCACCCACCCGATCTCAATTGTGACGACTTTTTTTATTCTTAGAAACTTAAAACACGTTGAAAATGATAAGTTTTTGTAGAGAAATGTGGATTTTGCAAATAGGCTCCGCCCCTAGGTCCAGCAACGAATGAAAACTTATTAACTACATATTTAGATCAGGGCAGGTATGGGTGGACCTTCAACTATGGCTTTAATTTTTTCTTAATTTACGTAGTATTCTTTCAACAACACGATCCTCAAAAACATGTTTTTAATTTCTCCTAGGGAAATAAGGAATTTGCAGTTAGGCTCCGCCCTCTTGGCTAACGACGAATAAAAGAAATCATCCGGATTGAGACCGGGTGGGTGGGCGGGGTTTATATTTTGTTTTTGTTTTTCTTAATATACGTAGCCATCTTTTCACAACAAGAAACTTAAAACATGGTTAAAATTGTACTTTTTTGGCAAGAAAATATAGATTTTGTAATTATGGGGTGGAGCCTAATTGCAAAATCGATATTTCCTTATACAAATTTTCCATTTTAAACATGTTTTAAGTTTCATGTTATGAAAAGAAGCCTACACATATTAAAACGAAAAGGCAAAATTTAAGCCCGCCCACCCGCCCTGTCTCAATTCTAATGATTTTTTTTTATTCGCCGTGAACCAAGGGCGGGGCTTAACTGCAAACTACTTATTTCTTTACAAGAAATTAAAAACACGTGTTTGAGTATCGTGTTGTTCAAAGAATACTATATATATACTAAGAAAAAAGGCAAAATATAAACCCCGCCCACCCACCCGATCTCAATTGTGATGACTTTTTTTATTCTTAGAAACTTGAAACATTTAAAATGGTATTTTTTTAAGGAAATATGGATCTTGCAATTAGGCTCCGCCCCTAGGTCTGTTAACAAATGAAAACTTCATTACTATTTAGTTCAAGGCAGGTATGGGTGGAGCTTAATCTTTAGCTTTATATTTTTTTAATATATCTACATAGTATTCTTTGAATAACACGATGCTCAAAAACATGTCTTACATGGAAATTTTAAGTAGAGAAATAATAAGGATTTTGCAATTATTAAATTCGGCTTCTTTGACTCACGACGAATAAAAAAATCATCACAATTGAGTAAGGACGGGTGGGCGGGGCTTATATTTTGCCTTTTTTTCTTAATATGTGTAGTTATTTTTTCAAAACAAAGTTAAATCACGTTTAAAATGGTAAATTTTTCGAAGGCAATACGGATTTTGTAATTATGGGTCAAATTTTCCATTTTAAACATATTTTAATTTTCATGTTGTGAAAACAAGTCTACACATATTCAAACAAAAAAGAAAAATGTAAGCCCGCCCACCCGCCCTATCTCCATTGTGATGATTTTTTTTATTCGCCCTGAATCAGAGGGGCGAAGCTTAACTACAAAATATTTTTTTCTTTACAAGAAATTAAAAATATGTTTTTGAGTATCGTGTTGTTCAAGTAATATTATGTATATTAAAAAAAGAAGGAAAAATATAAACCCCGCCCACCCACCCAATCTCAATTGTGATAATTTTTTTATTCTTAGAAACTTAAAACACGTTTAAAATGATAAATTTTTGTAGAGAAATGTGGATTTTGCAAATAGGCTCCGCCCCTAGGTCTGTCAACAAATGAAAACTTCATTACTATTTAGTTCAAGGCAGGTATGGGTGGAGCTTAATCTTTAGCTTTATTTTTTTTTAATATATGTACATAGTATTCTATGTTGCACGATACTCAAAAACATGTCTTACATGACAATTTTATGTAGAGAAATAATAAGGATTTTGCAATTATTAAATTCGGCTTCTTTGACTCACGACGAATAAAAAAATCATCACAATTGAGTTAGGGCGGGTGGGCGGGGCTTATATTTTGCCTTTTTTTCTTAATATACGGCAACTTGGCAACGGAGTTTATAAATGACAATTTTCAGCTCTAAAACAACGTCAATAGCAAGTTTATAAATTCCACTTTCTATTATTGGTAATGAAAAATCCATAATATAATCATCAAGGAAACAAATTCATTTATATTCGTTTAAGTCTTGTACGACGAAAGATTTCTGAAATTTTTGGTTGACACATGCTCACCAACACGGGAATATTTACTTTGATCAACAATTGAAGCACATTTTCATTCAAAAAAAGAACATTTAAATTGTGGCGCACATTTTCTGTGTCAATAATAAGCGTCCACTTTATCACGTGACTCGCCAGTCTTATCTCATTGGTGTGAACATTCGTGGGCGGTCCCATTATTGATTAAATGGAATATAATAATAACTGTATTATATTTAATCAATATCTCAGTTGGATACTGGAGTGAATGGTTATGAAGTTATGATTGTTGACCGTTCAGTTGGCAAGAAAAAAAATCCCTAATAAAAAATAATAACCTTGTAGGTAGCGTTTGAGTGCGTTGAATAAATAAATGTATTAACGTTCTGAGTATTTTTTAAACAACCGAAATTGACTTTCCACAGTCTAGTTGCATTAGAATTATAAGAAAGCCTAAATTAGAACTGTGGTTTAAAAAAAAACAGGAAGTAAGAATGCAGATCAATAAAAAGAACTAAATGGTCACTAATGAGCGAAGCAAAGCAGGAAAGCTGTAATGATGTGCGTTCAAAGTTAATATGTATCGTTATTAGTGAATAGTGACCTACAAACTTGTTAAGTTGTCAAGAACTATTTTTTTTTGTGGTAGTGATTGATCAGTAGTGTTCATGCGTGTAAATGCCAAGGAAATCAAGACTGACCTGTAAGAAGTACAGACATGCAGATGGTAGGGTCAGAACACCTGCACAGAAAGTAGCAGCTAAAACAGGCAAGTAGCAAACGATAAAATAAAATTTTTGATAAAACACCCAAATACCTAATACTACAAATCTAGTACATATTAGCTATACTAGACCTGTTTAAAAGAAATGTGAGCGAAATTCATTTTTTTTCTTACAAATTAAAATAGATCAGCCAACACTACAGTTTATATTAAAAGTACGCCTGCTCTGGCAACACCGCAAAATAAATAAAAAAATAGCTTTGATTGAAAGAGTGCTTAGAGTTCTGAAGAAAATAAACTTGCTTGGACTAAATTTTACTGTTACGTCCCTGTTCCGCTCTAAATGTGGTCGATGTTACAGGAACCTGTAATAGTGATAAAATGTCAACATTCATGTAAATAAATAAATGTTTTAAACAATTTAAATAAGTTTTAATAGTGCACCAAAGCGCGTTTTTACTTCCATGGGACTGATAATTACTGTCGCTGCCAACGCAAACCACCATGGCCAAAATGGGTTATAGTTGCCACAACACTGACCCCAATTCGGACCCAAACAACCAAGAAGGCCCCATCAGATGCATTTTCTTCTGTGAATTTCACCCCACAGCGGGTCCCATAATATCATGTCAAGTGAGTAGGAACCGCTCGACCCCACAAACCCCACTGAAGTGATTTTAGGAACCTGAGCAGTACATTTCGAAGGAACTTTTCGATAGTATTAGCGTCTACATTATCACTAAAGCCGAGTTACAGAGGAGCACAATCACAGTGTAAATAACTCGCAGTCGTGCCACCCTGAAATTAACTAAAATCGTTGTAGTACCTTGTCAGATTACAAAATCCTGGGATTTCCTGTACGCATCGATGACAAAAAATACCCCAGAAATGCGTACCATTTCAACTTGTGCCTGGTGTGTGATAGTAACGTAAGAACGGTTCACTATGAACCCGTCGTAATGAAACTATCGGATTATTTAATGGCCACAGAGATCGAAAGCAGTTTTTTGTCAGATGGTGGCGCCGCCACTAAACTCGCCCCCATTCTCAAACAAGTCATCCAGGAGCTGAATACCAAAGGTCTTAGTAAAATCAGTCAAACGTTTCAACTAAAACCCCGTTGCAGGCGAGTGCGCTTTAACCGAAGGCCCCACAGCCACTCATTTAAAGGTGGTTCACATCAGAAGCGACCCATCGCCCGTAGCCGACCACCAAGTCCCCGTTTTCATAAAACAACTACCCAACCAACAATGGGACTTGACCACCCAGCAAGTGGCCCCCTACATCGACGGTTTTAATCACGTGGCACGCATTGCGTTGCTGTCAGACGTCGAAAATAATTTAGTCAAGGCCTGTGTCCAGAATTTGGTTTATTACGGGGTGGTGGCTCTGGTGCCGCTGTTCCAATACGGGAATGTTTATTGTACGACGCCGCTACTCAAAGCGTTGGCGCACGACGTCAATTTACAAGTAGTGAGTTTGTTGTTTTGGGGTTGGTAACTGTTCACTGTTTTGTAGAACAAGTGTTTGAAGTATGTGGCGGTTTCGCAGAGGCAGTTGCCGAATTTTAGGGACGTGTTCAGGATGTTTGCCGCCATGACGAGGGGCACCACGATTCGGGATTTATGTTTGAGGTTTAACCCCTCGAATCTACGGGTTAATGAGAGGAAGTTGGTACAGTTTGGGGTGCTCGAGGGGTTGATCAGGAGGGTGCATAAGTATCCGATTTTGTTGAGCGAGAGTGCGGATTTGCAGAAGTCGCTGTCGGGGGCTGCCAATTTGGACGAGATTTGCTGCGCGACGGGGGTGACGGCGCAGCAGTTGGAGGATCAGCTGGAGAGGGACCACAATGTTGTCTTACTGTGGAAATAAGTGGTAGTTAATAAATAGCAGTTGTCTTATTTTGTGTTTCACTTGAATGAATCGTTACTGGTTTGTTGTGGTACGCCACTGGTTGATCGATATCTCCTTGTCAAAATCGACGACAGCGCCATCTGTTCATGACGTACGTACTCGTCATGTTAAAGAGTCGCAAATTGACAGGTTGGCCGCGAAAAAAAATAGCCCGTGCGAAAGAAATTATCGAGGCAGTGCACCAAAGACCGTTCCTGTATGACCAGTCTTTGACCGCAGCGAGAAGACAGTGTCAAAAATATGGCAAAACTACGATGGAGAAATGGATGGAGGTCGCCATGATTGTTTATGGTCGAAATGATGTCGCAACAGGTCAGTGGCGGAGGGTGTGTTGGGTATCAAAAACGAAATCATTATAAAATAAAGCAAAAATTAGCCTCGAGTCAGTGGCGGCTTAAATTGATTACTTTAAACTTACTGGGTGACGAGGAAACATTTGCAATAATGTACTGCGTAGAGAACCAGATTTCTTTAATAAATTTTGAAATGACGTCATTGTATTTCTGCAAGGGAAACGTTTTTTATTTCGCGTGCATGTTTGCTTTCATATCTGAATCCTCTCCTTTCAGTGGATACAGTAAGAAGCCAGTGGAAAACCATCCGGGATGGGTTTGTCAAGTACATGCGTAAACGCAGTCTTCAAATAGATCTTAAACCCCACTGCTACGAAGAAGAGCTGCAATTTCTTATACCCCATATCTGTAAAAGAGATATGCGGAGAAAAAACGGCGCAAATAGTATTAATATAATAGTTTATGAATGCGAGACGAGTACCAACCAGGACGAGTCTGTAAACGAAGAGGAAGAACTGCAGCTTGAGGAAGTCATAGGCGAAGAAGATGTGGAAGATGTGGAAATCGAACAAGACGTCCAATCAATAGAGTCATTTTTCGAAGGGGTTATTCAGACTGTGAGGAAATTCAAACCGTCAACCATCGACAGACTGAAGCAAACAGTGGCGAATCTTGTGATGGACGCCGAAATCGAAGAAATGGAAGAAAACATGGAGCTTTAACTTAAAACATTCTATTATTTTGTATGATTTTGTATTTGACATTAAGCTTATAGCATTGTTGAAATAAATAATTTAAACGAGTGTTTTCTTATTTGAAAAATCGGCGACAAACGTCAAAACACTGTTTAAATGTCACGTTTTTAGAAAGAATGGGTGCGTTTTTCAAGGACCTTGCACTCGCAGTGAAGAGAATGAAACCAGAGACGTTCGACAGATTGAAGGAAGCCATCGGGGATCTTATCGTTGATGCGGAAATTGAAGAAGCCAAGAAGAATGAAGAAACAAGTGTTGCGTCGTCCAGCTAAGTTTTAAGTAAATATTTGTTAAAATGTGCAACAAATTTTTAAGTGATATTATTTTTCAGTTTTCCAAGATGGCGCAGACTTGGAAGACAGACGATTTGGAATCACAAAAAAGAAAAAAGGAAGAATACGTTCACCCCGTGGACTTATTTTTCTATGACGTTTCACGAACGATAAAAAAATTTAAGCCGGAAACTATCGACAGGTTAAAAAAGGCGATGGCGAGACTTGTCACGGATGCAAAGTATGAAGAAAAGCCGGGAAAAGTGAAAGTTGAAAACGACGAAACACAGGGAACTATAAAAGATGAAATTGAAATAGTGCAACACGAGGTAAAAGCAGAGTTTGAAGAAATTTAAATGTCAAATATGGATATGATTTTGGCTGGATTTTGTATTTGATATTAATCTTATAATAAAATGTAATTGTTCAAATAAATAATTCAAAAGAGCGTTTCCTGTTTTTCAAACTATTTATGATTAAATGAAACTTTATGATTAATAAAATTTTGTAGAAATTAGATACAAAAAAGAAATTGTAATGTTGGTTGCATAACGCAACTAAAATTTTAGGTTATGTTGTTTGGTGTCAAAAACGTGTCAAGGACTGTTACAATAACCGTTTTTCGCTGCATACACAAAGTCATTTCTACGTTTCGAAATTAACAATTCGTCATCAGACCTTTAGGTAAAACTCCAACTGTGTCCACGGTGTAAAGTAAAGCAAAAAAAAAGAAACAAGCTCAGTTTTATTTTGAATATTCCCGCTAGTAGTATTAGTTCCAATTCGCAACATAAGGTGCTGCAGAGGGACGATTTTTAATAAAGTCACTAGAAAGATATGAATCTAGTGACTTTAATTTTTAATAGAACTAATTTCTAATGTTGTGGTGCCCCCAGGGGGTGACGGGGTTGAAGGCAAGATAGGCAGGCCAGCAGCACATTTTGTGGGCGCCACGACGGACGAAGTGGGGCAAAAGGAAATGACTTTGTTGACAGTTTGGTAACTTCAGTATGATTTTGGTGCAAAATGAAAATTTCTACTAACCCCGCCCACTCGCCCACTCTTTTCTTAGGGGATATATTATTTGCCAAAATCAGTCTTACCTTAGCAAGTGCTAACCCCGCCCACCCGCCCTCTATTTTCTTAGGGGATATATTATTTGCCAAAATCAGTCTTATCTTAGCAAATACTAACCCCGCCCACCCGCCCCTTATTTTCTTGGAGGGTCTATGATTTGCCAATATCAATCTTATTTTAAAAAGCATTAAAATAAATATTAAACATTCGCTTCTTTTTCTAAATGTGTATATATAGTTTTCTTTCAACAAGATACTTACAACGTATTTCGCATGATAACAACTTTTTTGTAGAGGAATAAAATTTTTCCAATTAAGCCCCGCCCCGGCTCACGACAAATAAAAAAAAATCACAATTGACATGAAGGCAAATGGGCGGGGCTTATACAGGGTGTTATTGAAAGGTACGGACAACAAAATTGATAGTTCTTCGCGAAGTCTAAAAGAAGCCTGAAAAACTTATTTTTTCACTAGCAGCCAGGACGCATGCAAATGTCGACTCATTTAGTGGTAGCAAATTCAACTTTTGCTACCACGGGTTCAAAAAGAAAAATTGAGGTTATGTACGCAATGTTTGATGTGATTATTTTTTAAAAAAATGAACAAATGTGTGCTACAAACATTACTTGAGTATACGCATGGTAGTTGGTAGACGGTAGAAGATAAAATGATTAACTCAGCGACAAGTATAAACGGTTTTCTTTGTGTTGAAGATTTAGATTAAGTTTGACTAGAAATCAAAACAAAATCATGTTGCGTCAAAAAATTGAACGTTTATTTTTTCAATTTATTGTCTTATGGTTCCTACTAGTGAAAAAAATAGTATATTAACCACGGTTGCAAAGCTACTTCTAAACCTCGCGCTTCAGAGCCCTCGACGCTGCGCGTCTCGGGTTCTAATTTGCGCTCGGTCTAGAATGCTTGGCTCTGCAACCTTGGCTAATAATATACTATTTGTGTTATCAAAATTATAAGGAAAAATTAACCCTTATTCAACCTTTGTAGACGCTACTGAAGAATAAATAGGTAAAATTAATTTATTTTAGTACATCCTAGCAACTGTAACAATAAAACTTTTGTCAAGACTAAATGTTGCTATAGAAACGAAAGATGACCTTTTTATCAGAGGCGTACAACGAATTTGGATATAAATTTTAATAATTTTTATCTCTAAAAGGAGAACAATTTTATCTGAACTTTTTTTTACTTTTAGCACCCATACTTCGAGACCAGTTGCCGATTTTATTTTGTACGTATCTTTCAATAACACGCTGTATTTAACCTTTTTTTTCTTAATATACGTAGCCATCTTTAACAATAAGAAACTTAAAACTTGTTAAAAATAGTAATTTACTGTAGAGAAATCTTAATTTTGCAACTCCGCTCCTCCCCTCGATCTAACAACAAATGAAAAATTCATCACAAGTGAGATAGGGGCGGGTGGGTGGGGCTTAATCGTTTCCTCATTTTCTTTTAATATATAGTTTGCTTTCAACAACACAATACTTAACAGATAATTCTAACCTTAAATTCACCATTTGATATTTTAAGTTAATGTTGAAAGGAGAGTACATAAAACCTTATTTTCTCTCTCTCTTACTATGTGAAATATGTGTTAAGTATAGTCTTGTTGAAAGAAAACCATATATGTCAAGAAAAAAAAGCCAAAAAATAAGCCCCACCCGCCCGCCCTAACCTCAAATGTGATGAATTTTTCATTCGTTGTCAGAGCGAGGGGCGGAGGTTAATTGTATAACCAATATTTCCCGACAAAAATGTACCATTTTCAATGTTTTTTAAAATATATTGTGAAAAGAAGATTATGTATCTACAGAAAAAAAGGGCTAACTTAAGCCCGGCCCCTCCTGGCTCACGACGAATGAGGAAAAATCGTCACAATTGGGATAGGGCGGGAGGGTGGGGCTATGTTTTGCTTTTTTTCATGTGAAATTGTTGATAGGTTAAAAAAGCGATGGCGAGACTGTGAAAATGGAAAACCACAAAACATAGAGAACTATAAAAGATGAAATTGAAATGTAAAAGCAGAGTTCGAAGAAATTTAAATGTAATTGTCAAATATGGATGGGTATTATTATTATGTTACGCCACTGGTTGATCGCTCATTTTCGTGTCGTGCGTATCGTATGAGTGTGTATGTAGTTGATATTAAGCTTATAATATAATCTAGAATTGTTGAAATAAACAACTCAAAAGAATTTTTCCTGTTTTTAAAGAATATCGCACTCAGTTTTTTAGTGTTTAATTTATATTGGTAATGTAATGTGTTTAACTGGTTGCCTGACCTTTCTTGTGATTAATATTAACACTACTATCAACATTAGATAATTGTCAGAATGGTCCAAAAAGCTGAATCAAAACCATTCGTAATTAAATTAATATTTGTGATTGATCAAATTTCGTAAAATTAAATAAAAAGTTAAGTTTGTAATGCTGGTTGCATACCACACTAAATTTTAGGTTATGTTATTCGGTGTCAAAAACGTGTCAAGGACTGTTACAAAAACTATTTTTTGCTGCATGCACGAAGTGATTTCTATGTTTCGAACATAAACAGTCCGTCATCAGAGCTGTAGGTGAGACCCCAACTGTGTCCACGGTAAACCAATTTCTTATTGTAGACAAACCAAAATGTCTTTCGCGGAAGTGTTCAACGAGTTTATTCACATGGAGCCCCCTCTCGAGACCATCTACACCGACCAAGACCACCAGTACCATGACCCCATCAGGCCGCAGCGTTCGTCATTCAGGTTTAACTGTGAAAATGCCAAAATTGAAACGTATTTCTGCAAGGATTGTTGTTTTTGTACACAACTAAGATTAATGTACAAACAACACCTTAAACAATGTCGTAGTATTAAAAATGGGAGTCAAGATGTATCAACTGAGGAAATCACCATTAACGATTACGTTTGTGAAAAATGTGGCTTTGAAACCCACTTCTCATTAAAGTGGCTTCAACATACCATCACGTGTTCAAATAAAGAAAAGTGTCAGCCAATAGTGTTGGACGAGAACACCACAACTAACATCACGTGGTACAAGTGCGACCACTGTGACTATAAATGCAAACACAAAGGTTACTTAAAAGTACACAAAACGTTGAAACATTTGAGTGACGGTGAAGTACGTTGGTACCACTGCACGAAATGCCCCTATAAAGCCAAACAAAAAATGTATTTAAAGAAGCACATGAACGTGCGACATATGGACGATCAGAATTTTAAATGGTACGAATGTGACAAGTGCCCATATAAAGCTAAACTGAAATTTAGCTTGAAGAAACACATAATTGTAAACCACTTAGACGAAAAAGATATTAAATGGTACATATGCGACAAGTGTCCATATAAAGCTAAAGTACGAGCGACGTTACGAGAGCACATAATCGCACGACATTACGACGAACAAGATATTAAATGGTATCAATGTAAAAAGTGCCCCTACCGTGCCAAACAGAGCTGCCATTTAAAAAGTCACATAAATTCGCTTCATTTAGACGAGCAAGAAATTAAATGGTATGAATGCACCAAGTGCCCATACAAATCTAAACGCAACTACAATTTAAAAAACCACATAAAAGCGCGCCATTTAATTGAAATGGAAATCGAATACTACGAATGCAAAATGTGCCTGTTTAAAGCTAAACGGAAATTCACTTTGGATAAACACATTGTTGCGTGGCATTTGGACGAACGGGACATTGATTGGTATGAATGTGAAAAGTGCCCGTACAAATCTAAACAAAAAAGCAATCTGACGATGCACGTGAACACCCACCATTTAGACGAAAAGGATATTAGATGGTACGAATGCCAGAAGTGTCCATATAAGAGCAAATACAACGCGCATTTGAAAATACACATAAACACGCGACATTCCGAGGCACAGGATGTTAAATGGTATGAATGCGAAAAATGTACGTACAAATCCAAAGATAAGTCGTGTTGGTATAAACACGTGAGTGTGTACCATGTGGATGAAAAGGATGTTAAATGGCACGAGTGCGAAAAGTGCCCGTACAAAACCAGGTATAGTTCTCATTTGAAAAGGCACTCAAGTCGGCGCCATTTGAACGAACTGAAAATAAAGTAGGGTGATAATGCTCTTTGTGTAACTAGAGAGACAAAAATTGTGTAAATTTTAATAGATGTGACTCCATGTTGGTGTTTCATTTATTCAAAGTAAATTATTTTGTTCGTGTATGTTGCGTTGCATAACTTACAATGTTTTAAGCGACCTAGTTTCGTGTGACGTCACGTTTGGGATATTTGAATGTTTTACATCAATTCAAATACTTCAAACCCCTGAAAAACCAAGTCGTGTGTTATTTCGTCTTATAATCACAACTTTCTTTGCTTCAATGGAGAAAAAGAAGTTTAACATACGTCTGCTGTTGCGTTTACGGTTGTAACTCTGTTTCCAAAAATAATCCTAACCTCAACTTTCACTCATTTTCACATGACTTGAGGTGGAGTGGGCGGGGCTTACATTTAACCTTTTTTTTAATATACGCAGTCATCTTTTCACAAGAAACTTCAAACATGTTAAAACTGGTAAATTTTATAGAGACGTCTGGATTTTGCAATTCAGCTCCTCCCCTCGATCTGACAACGAATGAAAAATTCATCACAAGTGAGATAGGGGCGGGTGGGTGGGGCTTAATCATTGCCTTTTAATATATACTTGTCCAAAAGGAATAAGGTTATATAACCATCATAAAAGTAGTTGACCGCAAATAAATACCCCCTTTGTGTGGTTCGCACTAAGCTTACCGATTGGCAATAAATCGTCTTCTAAACATTTCTTGCTCACATTTAACAGGACCGGCTTTCAAAGCGAGTGGTTATTTCGGAACCCTCAGCGGCTACAGGTAGTAAAGAAATAGTGGATTTTCATATTTAGTGAAAGCCGCCCCTGAACGAAACCACAAGAGCCGGTCGAGCTGCAGTGGACATGGGATGATTTTATGACGGCCATATAACCTTATAGCTCTTGGTCCACTATATATATATTTTTTTCAACAACACAATACTTAACAGATAATTCTAACGTCAAATAGGATAAGCCCCACCCACACACCCACCCTATCTCAGTTGAGATTAATTTTTTTTATTTCTTTGTGTGGGCTGTGGGCGAAGCAAATTAAAACCTTATTTTCTCCACTAGAAATTACCATGTGAAATATGTTTTAAGTGTGTTGAAAGAAAACTATTATGTCAAGAAAAAAAAAACTTAAAAAATAAGCCCCATCCGCCCGCCCTAACCTCAAATGTGAAGAATTTTTTATTCGTTGTCAGAAAGGTGGAATTTATTATTTTCAATATGTTTTTAAATATCTCGTGAAAAGGAGACTATGTATCTACAGAGAAAAGGTTAACCTTAACTCCTGGCTGACGATGAATAAGGAAAAAAGTCACAATTGAGATAGGGTGGGTGGGGGTTATGTTTTGAATTTTTTTTTTTATTAATACACGTAGTCTTCTTTTCACAACAAGAAACTGAAAACATGTTTAAAATGGTGAATACCCCCCATACTTTTCTAAAAATTTAACATTTTTAAGCATATTTTTTATTTCTTGTCATGAAAAGAAAACTACGTACATACAGTTGCCGCCAAAAAATTTCAGACGTCAATGTCATTCAGTCGTCAGATAGTGTAAAGCAACCTTTAGATGTTTCTAACCTAAATATTTGACAGTCATTTTTAACTTTTACATTTGACACTTACATGAATGTAGCTGTAGCGTAAGCTGGAATTTTGAAAGGTTGACATTCCAGCTGTCCGAAATAATGACCATAAAGCATAGACTACATTAAAATTTTTGACATGACAGAAAAGTGATGTTTGAAATTTTTTGTCGGAAACTGTATATTAAGAAAAAAAAAAGAAAAATACAAATCCCGCCCACCCGCCCTCATCTCAATTGTGAGTTTTTCATCCGCCGTGACCCGAGGGGCGGAACTTAATTACAAAATGCTTATTTCTCCACAAGAATCTACCATGTTTTTAAGTATCATGTTGTTGAAAGAAACCCATGTATGTTAAGAGAAAAAAAAAAAGTGAAAAATAAGCCCCACCTGACCGCTCTAACCTCAAATGTGATGAATTTTTCATTCGTTGTCAGAGCGAGGGGCGGAGCTTAATTGTATAATCAATATTTCCCCACAAAAATTTGCCATTTTCAACAGGTTTTTAAATATATTGTGAAAAGAAGATTATGTACAGTTTCGGCCAGAAAATCTTGAGCAGTATTTTTCTGTCATTAAAAAAAAACACGATAGAGTCTAAGCTTTATTGTTATAATGATTGACACTTTTAAAAAATTAAGTTTAACATACGCATCATTCACATTCTAATCTACGTCAAAACCACAGTCAAAACGATCAAAATGACAAACATGGCAAATTTGAGGTTATAAGTACATAAAGCCTGTTTTAGAGCTTATGTCACTGGAATGACAGAACTACCCAAGATTTTGTGGCCGAAAATGTACGTATCCACAGAAAAAAGGCCTAAACTTAAACTCCGCTCCTCGGTTTACGCCGAATAAAAATATCATCAGAATTGAGATAGGGCGGGCGGGCGGGGTTTACATTTTGCCTTTTTTTGTAATATACATAGTCATCTTTTCACAACAAGAAACTTAGAACATGGTACATTTTTGTAAGGAAATATGGATGAAAAGAAGTCTACACATATTCAAACAAAAAGGCAAAATGTAAGCCCGCCCACCCACCCTGTCTCAATTGTGATGATTTTTTTAACTGCAAAATACTTATTTTTTTACAAGAAAAAAAAGTACCATGTTTTAAGTTTCTTGTTGTGAAAAGATGGCTATGCATATTAAGAAAAAATAAGGTAAAATATAAGCCCCGCCCACCCGCCCTGTCTCAATTCTGATGATTTTTTTTATTCGTAATGAGCCAAGAAGACGACACTTAACTGCAAAATCCTTATTTCTCTACGAGAAATTAAAAACATGTTTTTTAGTATCGTGTTGTTCAAAAATACTATGTATATTAAGAAAATAAAGCAAAATATATACCCCGCCCACCCACCCCATCTCACTTGTGATGATTTTTTTATTCTTAGAAACTTAAAACACGTTTAAAATGGTGAATATTTGTAAGAAAACTTGGATTTTACAATTGGCCTCCGCCCCTATTTCTGTCCACGAATGAAAACTATTAATATTTACATCAGGGCAGGTATGGGTGGGGCTTAATCTTTGGCTTTAATTTTTTTTTTTTTAATGTAATATGTACACAGTATTTTTTGAATAACACGATACACAAAAACATGTCTTGCAGGGTAATTTCTTATAGAGAAATAATAAAAATTTTGCAATTAAATTCCACTCTCTTAGTTCCTGACAATAAAACAAACATCACAATTGAGATGTGGCGGGTGGGCGGGGCTTATATTTTGCATATGTAGTCGTCCTTTCAGAACAAGAAACTTTAAACAAACCAAATTGTAAATTCTTATAGACAAATATGGATCTTGCAATTAAGCCCCGCCCCTTGATCTGGCAAGAATGAACAATTCATCACAATTGATAATTGATATCGGGGTGGGTAGAGGCGGGGCCTAATCTTTGGTTTTATTTTTGTTTTCTTAATATACATAGTATTCTTTGAACAACACGATACACAAAAACATCTCTTAAATTTCTCGTGGAAAAATAAGCATTTTGCAGTTAAGCTCCGCCTTCTTGGCTCACGACGAATAAAAAAATCATCACAACTGAGATAGGGCGGGTGGGTGGGGCTTGTATTTTGCCTTCTTTTCTTAACAGATGTAGACTTATATCGACAACAAGAACTTAAAACATGTCTAAAATGGTAAATTTTTGTAGTAATCAACTTAAATTCGCCACTTTTCTTCTACAACCCCTTTAAATACGGCAAAAGTTGAACATCAAAGTTACCATCAACGGCAACTTGGCAACGGAGTTTATAAATGACGATTTTCAGTTTTTAAATCCCACGTTAGTGGCGTCGTAGCCACAGCCATCCTGCGATTGCCTTTGGTTTTACGACCAATTAACAAGCGTCTGCGGAGACACGTGATTGCAGGAGAGCGTGCTATTGGTGCACACAAGGTCAAACTTGTTTTTTCAGATGACAGACTTGCCGCTTTTCAAATTTCAAAACAAAAAAGTTGGGTTATGTCGGGTAACGTGTTTTGGTTGTGTTTGTCACAACATTGTGAATAATTCATTGTTTACTTAGTGTTGGTGCTTTAGAAAAAGCTTGTAAAGTGTGAAAGACGTTGCGGTTGTGGTTTTTGCGCAAACAGAGCGTGGCTTTTCGGTGAGTCGTATTTTGAGGTTATGTTTTTGTCAGTTCGGTTTGTTTATAAGAAACGAACGAGTGTAAAAGTAGAGGCGTGTTTGATATGTTTTACATATATTTATTTATAGTAATTTCTGATAAAGTACAAAAATTTACTGTACCATGTAGTACTATCACACAAAATCTTACGGACTACGTTATTAAGATAAAATAACGGCAACACATTTTACAGTCGAGGACTGAAAGTTGATATTTGAAAATATCGTACTGAACGCTAATACTTATAATACCGAAATTGCAAAATACTGTCGGATTAAAAATTTTGATTGAGTTATCAATATCAGTATCACAAAAATGAGCTCCTTCCATTGATGTAATATACAAAAAGGTCATTCTTAAAGAAATTAACAAATACTCTGTTTCTCTTGTGAGAAAATAAAATTTCAAGTAACACAAAAATAACACCCAAGAACTTTTCCCCAGAAAAGTTGTTGCGTGTAGTCGTTAACGCCAGCTTTTTAATTATTACTCTAAAAAACTGGCCTTAACATGCAGGTACCTTTCAAATGAAATCACTCTTAATATCACTTTTCCTAAATATAGTCTCTTATCAAAAGACCCCCGCGTTGTGATCCAACACGAGAAGTTCAGTCACTGGTTCTAAGATATAGAATTTCTAAACACTAACCTATCACGTATAGACTTTCTTACTTATATATATGGTGAAGATAAGCGAAACCTGTGTAATGACAGTGTAAAAACTATGAAATGTGACGGCGATTTTGATACATCAGTCTTCTCAGTTTGTCTATTCTAAGATCGATCGATACAGCTTCTTCTTGCTCAGCGTGTACGCCGGACTCACCACGATGGTGCCCCCTCTCGCAAAGTTCCTGCAACCAAATCGCTCGATTAATCCATCACCGCCCCCACGGCGCCCTTACTTCAGAAACTGCGGTATGAAGTTCCACCTCGTCGAGCTCTGCTTGAAGGTCAGGTTGAGCTCGAACGTGGTCGCCGTCCCCGGGTCGCACTTCACGCTCGAGAGCTTCCTGCACTCCTCGAGCCCCTCGAAATTGACGTAGATGAGGCAGCCGCGGATGCCGCACGGCTCCGACTCCGCCATCGAGAGGATGTCCCTCGAGATGCGGTGGAGGAGGCCGCAGGGCAGCAGGACTTCCCCGCAGGACAGGTGCGTCCGCTTCGCCGAGCGCAGCTCCATCTCGAGGCGGTGGCTCAGCGACGGGATCGTCAAGCAGAGACCTCTGTCGTCGGCCGAGGTCGGGAAAAAGTCGTGCAGACAAGCTAGAAATGAGAAAGTGGAGATTATTTTTTGCACTTTATGTAAATTGTAAATTTAGAATGATGGGTTTGCGTCAGCGGTCGGTGTTTTGGCCAAGTTTTTCGCTAAAAATAGCGGAGAAATTAAGGCGGTAATTAAATCGGGGAGGATGAAGTTATTAGTTGCATTTTCGTAATTTTCGGTATGTGTTGGGAGAACGCCAAGCTGGATGTATGTTTGACAAGGGTTTGATTTATTGCGTAAATTATTCGTGCATTTTTTCGGGTCTGATACCGGTCAGGGTTACTTTTTTCAGATTTGTTATTTTTATAGTTTAAGGAACTTGGTAGAGGTTTAAATATTGATCAGATAACTGGTTGTCGTTGCGTTAAAAAATTGTGTAATTACCACACTCAGTTCCAATAATATTTTACGGAACTAGAAAATTCAAGCAAGGGTCACTGTTATGGCAAAATCGTCCGCAGTTGAGTCATTGTGTACATTTCAAGTTTTTTTTTATCTTTAACCCGTTGGCAACAGAGCTTCATTAAAAGTTTTTAAACAACAATGTGACGAAACCTAAAATGTGTTGCTGAGTTGTAATAACAAGTACAATAACAATGATAGCTAACAAGTAAAAAACCTTTTAAGGTAGTACGTGTTTCTATTGGAATAACAAGGCCGATTGACTTTTAATCATTTTAACGGTTACCTTTGCGGAAAATTGCAACGACAGACGTCAATAGAATGCCTTTTTCGTTTTTTACGGGGCTCCCAGTGTCACAAATAATTGCAGTGAATAATAAAATGAATTCGAGTTGGCGCTGCCTGTCAATCTTTAGGTGGCATCACTGGCCTCAATTTGACGTAAGTCAAGGCCACATAACCTGTAATCACAATTGTCTCGAAAAAATATCAAAAATGCTGTTTAAGGTTTGACGTTGACAGGTGAATGAGCTGTCAGCAGCTGACACGATGTGATGTGTCAATTATGCATTAGTACCACCTATATAACTCACATCCCGCTCTAATTCGTTCTATTTTTGAACATAAAAAAAATATTCAGAGCAAAATTTATTCTCAATGGCTGATTTTCCAATATTTCATAGTCTTTGAATCAGAAAAGAGGAGAAAAAAATGGGAAAAAGAGTCAGAAATGTTGGGTAGAGAGAACGGTAGAAAAGAAAAAGGAAAATTCGAAATAATTGGCAAAAGGAGAGGAAAGAAAGAGAGGTGGAAAGGAGAGAAAGCCGGGGAAGTGGATCGGTAGAAGAGAAGAAAAAGTGCGAAAGTAAGAGTCAGTATAGAGCGAATGGGAAGGGGGGAATAGAGAAATAGAGAGAACGGGGAAAAGAGGGAGGGGGTGCGGCAGAGATATCAAGAGAAGGGCACACAGAGAAGAATAGAGGTATAGAGAGAAAGAGGTAAAAGGACAGAGTAAGTAGCACAAGGAAAATAGTAATAGGAGAAGAAACAAAACGAAGGCAAAAGAATTAGTGAAAGCGGAAAAAACAGCAGGAAAAAGGGAAAGAAAAGGAGAAAGGGAGATAAAACGTAGAGAAACCAGAGCAGAAAGTGAAAATAATAGAGGGAAAGAGTGAAAAAAAAAAAGAACAAAAGGAAAAATAACGAATAAACGCGGAGAAGAGTTCGGGGTATGGGGGAGAAATTGAGAAAACTGCACATAGAGAAGGGTGGAAAGGTACAGAAAGAAAGGGGTAGAAAGAAAAAGTAAGGAGGGGCAAGAGAAGAGTAGAAGGAGGAGAAACAAATAAAAAAAATAGAAAACGGGAAAAAGATGAGAGGGAAAGGGATGGAGAAAGGACAGAGTAGAATCGAGGTATAGAGAGAAAGGGGTAAGAAGACAGAGTAAGTAGCACAAAGAAAGGAGTAATAGGTAATAGGTGAAGAAACAAAAAGAAGGAAAAGAACCAGTGAACGCGGAAAAGACAGCAGGAAAAAGGGAAAGAGAAGGAGAGATAAAATGTAGAGAAAACAAGGCAGATAGAGAAAATGATAGGGGAGAATGGAGGAATAACGGGAGGAAAGTAGGAGGAATTGGCAAAGAGAGAGAAGGAAAGGTGCAGAAAAATAGCGAAAAAAAAAGCAAAAGAAAAAATAACGAACAATCGCGGAAGACGAGAGAATGTAAATAGAAAAGGGAGGAAAGAAAATCTGAGGGAAGAGGAGAAAGAGAGAGCCAGAAAATATAGTGAGAAGGGGGTAGGGAGATGGAGGGGCGGGACAACTAGAGAAGAGGTGGGGGTATGGGAGAGAAATTGAGAAAACTATACATAGAGAATGGTGGAGAGCTATAGAATGAAAGGGGTAGAAAGAAAGAGTAAGTAGGGGCAAGAGAAGAGTAGGAGGGGAAATAGCAGAAAACGGGAAAAATATGAGAGGGAAAGAGACGGAGAAAGAGATGGAGGGTTGAGAAAACGGAAGAGAAAATAAGAAGGGGGAAGGAAGGAATAACGGAGGAAGATAACAAAAAATTGGCAAAGATAGAAAAAAAGAGAACGGAAGTGAGCGGAAAGAGAGGACGGTCAAATGGAAGTAATGGGAGGAAAAATAGAATGGGCGGGGAGAGAAAAAGAAGATGGGAACAAAAGAAAAATTAAAATACTTTCTTCGCTTACGCTCGGGAAGTAAAAACGTATAAGAAGAGACAAAGAAAGAGGTGAAGAAGAGAGAAATCCGGGAGAGTGTACTGGGAGAAATGAGGAAGGGAAGACTGAGGGAAGAGGAGAAAAAGTGGGAAATTGTCAGAAAACAATATAGCGATAGAGAGAAGGGAAAAAAGTAGGGAGACAAATTGAGAGAATGCCACACATACAAGGGTAAAGACGTATATGAAGACGTAAAAAGAAAGAGTAAAAGTAGGGAGAAGAGACGAGTAACAGGAGGAGAAACAAACAGAATTAAAGCGAGAAAAGATGGGAAGGTGAGAGGAAAAGATACGAGAAGAAGAGCTAGAGATGATAGCTACAGAAAAAGGAACAGAAAGAGCAAAAAGAGGAGAAATGGGAGAAAAAGCAGGAAGTACTGGCAAAGAGAGCGAGAGGAAAGGAAAGAACGAAAAATTAGAAAAAAAAGAGGAGAATCAAAAAAGGGGAAAAGGGAAGTAACGGGGAAAAGCAAAACGGGCACGAGAGAAGTGGATAAAAGAAGAGTGACAAAAGAACGAAAAAAGGGGAAAAGAGGGGATGGAGAGAGAAGCGCAAAAGAAAGAACGCCGGACGAGAAAGGAATAGGAGCAAAAGTGGAAAAGAAAGCCAGAAAATATAGAGAGAAAAAAATTGAGAGAACGGTACACAGAAAGGTACAAAGAGAAGGGATAGAAAGAGAGTAAATAGGGGGAAGAGAGGAGTAACAAGAAGTATTGGCAAAGAGAGAAGGAAAGAAAAGAACGAAAAATTAGAGGAAAAGAGGAGAATCAAAAAAAAAGGGGAAAAGAAAAGTAACAGTTACGAGAGAAGTGGAAATAAAAAAGAGTGAAAAAAGAACAAAAGAGGAAGAATGAAAAAAAACGGAAAAAGAGTGGATAAAAGAAGAGGCGAAAAAGAGAGAAAGGAAAAAGTAGAAAATATAGAGAAAAAAATTAGAGAACGGCACACAGCGAGGTATAGAAAGAAGGGATAGAAAGAGAGTAAATAGGGGGAAGACAGGAGTAATGAGAAGTATAGGCAAGAGAGAAAAGGAAAGAAAAGAACGAAACATTGGAGGAAAACAGGAGTAACGGGGAAAAAGCAGAACGGACACGAGAGAATAGTGAAAAAAGAACAAAAGGAGAAAGAACGGAAAAGAGGAGAGAAAGTGGGAAAGAAAACCAGAAAATATACAGGAAAACATCACATAGAGACGGGTAGAGAGCTCTAGAGAGAAAGGGAAATGAAGAGATTAAAGAGGGGAAAGAGAGGAAGAATTGGCAAAGAGAGAGACGGGAATAAGAGTGAAAAAAGAGAGTAAATAGGGGGGAATAATAGGGAGACAAACACAGAGAAGGGAAAGAACCAGGGGAAAAAGCCAGAGAAAGCGAGAAAAAGACTGCATGAAGAGATGGAAAGAAACGGAGAAAAAGAGAGAGAGAAAAACGGCAGAGGAAACAGTAGAAAGAGAAAATAAGAAGGAAGAAGCGAGGAGTAAGTTGAGGAATAACAGGAAGATAGGATAAAGCAGGAGAAGGAAAAGAGAGGGGGGCAAGAAACAGGGAGATGATATAAGGGAAGGGAACCGAGGAATCATGAAAGACGGGGAAGACGTGGGAAAGAAGGACACCAAGGGGGAAAATAGTTCGAGAACTTTGAAAATGGATAGAGAAAACCTGAAAAAAGAGGAGGGAGCGCGAGAATGAGGGGGAGAAAAGGATAGAGAGAAAAAGCAGAAACACACAAAGCATATGATACGCGATGAAGAGGGGAGAAAAGGGTAGAAAATGAGACGAAGAAGAGGGAAAGAGTCCGATATTTTTGGAAATACAGAAAGACAAAGAGAAAAAGAAGGAAAAATGCGAAATAGAAATTGTAGCGAGTGCGGTAGAAAGGAAGGGAGAAAAAGAACCAGGGAAGAAAGGAGAGGCTGATAAATTTCCCTTTTAATTCCCAAGTATTTCATTTTAAACCAACAAAATTGAAGGGGAAGGAAGAGATGAGAATGGGAACAGCAGAGGGAAGAGAAAGAGAGAGGAAAAGGAAGAGAATGGGAACAGGAGAGTTCAGTTTTCCGTTTACGTGAATTTTAACGGACTTAAGTCAGTTTTGTATTGTATAAGTCATAATTTTTACCAAATTAAAAAGCGGTTGGTAACAATTCTAGTATCTGATCGCGAATTCTTACTCTTAAACTTTTAACACTGCAATAAGATACTTTTGTTCTTTTAACATTATCTATAAGCAGTTCAGTAAGAAGCAAATTTTCACTCTAAGTAAAAACCGGTTGGCAACAACTCCGTTGAAAGAACGAACTTGACTTAAAAAGTCAAACTTTTAGTCACTGAAAAAAAAAACCGCCGCTTCCAACCTCCCCATAACAACAACATTAATAAAAAGCTTCGGGTCGGTAGCAACCCCTACGTTAAACAAATTTAAAAATCGAATTATTTACTGGAAGCGGCCGGTTTTACCCTAACCAAAAAACCGGTTGGCAACAACTTCTTACCAAAAACTAACCGAATTTACGTTGGCGAAACCGGACTTTTCCGTCACCCTTACGAAAAGCGCGCCTCAATTAAACAAACCCCATTTCCCCAGTGAAAAAACCGACGTTTCACCCCAACCCCTCGCAAAAAAAAATTTCAACGGTAAAAATCGGTACTCACTCGAGGGCGCCGGCACCGGCGTGTCCACCAGCACCGACTCGATGATCTCGGACGACATCGTCTTGGGGCTCCCCCCCAGCTCGTGGGGGGGCTTGGGGAGCACCCCCGACAGCTTGCTGAAGACCGCCTGCAGCTTGGAGTTCCTGGAGGGCCGCTCCTCCTCGCCCCGTTTCCTCAACATCCTGCCGCTTCAGCGCCCTTCCGTCATCCCAGCCCCAGAAGCCGCTGCACCGGCCGCCGGCTAACAAAGAACTCGAACACCGAGTCAGCTGATCGGGTGGTGGGGCTTCCCTCGACCAATGGGAGCCCCTGCCACTCTTTGTGCTCCCTCTGCCTGGTAACAGCCGTCAAAATCAGCTGTAACGATCGATTGGGCGCTAGCTCGGACGTACGTCGCGCGCTCCGTCTCCCTCTGGAAACCGGTTGGTCCACTTTCGGGGCCGCCGGGGGCGGCGGCCGAAAGGGCTCTCGGGGGGCGGGCGTGCGGGAGCGGGCCGTTTTCCCGTCGTGGAAGGTTTCCGCGAGGGGTTGGTGGCGGAATTCGGCGTACTTTCGGCGGGTTTTCGGCGTGGCGGAAATGTGGAACAAAGGACGGGGGAGGCGCGAGTGCGAGGGAGAGGGGCGCGACGTGGGTCGCAGATTGGAGTGCTACGGTCGGGTTTCCTGTTTATGTTATGGCCGTCTTTGTCTGGAAACGGTGCGTCTTTTACTAGCTCACGTAGCGCAGCTCTTGTTGTCAAGGCAGCAAGCAAATGTGTTGTATGGGTGTTTAAAAAATATAAACATCTGTTTACAGCTGCGAGAATTGATGGTTGCATGGAACCGAATTAATGCTGTTGGGTTTAAGTAATGTCTTTTGTTTTCGGGGATTTGTTAGCTGATTAGGTTTGGGTGGTTTGTTTTCGGGAATTTTGATTGGAGCTGGTGTGACAGATTTATTAAAGACGTGGGATGTGCGTTTAGTTCGGGTTTGAGTTGTACCACTTAATTTTTTTTCGGGTGTTATTTATTATAAGAGTGCAGAAATACCGAAAAGTCGTCATAAATTATTTACGCTTCTTAATGTTTGAGGGACTTGAGGCTTTTAAACTTTGGAACTAAAGAGTGAAAAAGTTTCCATTAGCCGGGTCATTAAAAATTCACTCCTTAATTCGGGTTTTTTCGGCTGTGTTTAGTGTACTGCACGAAATCTCGATTGTATACAAAAAATTATTGTAATCTGTGAACAACCTTGGCATACAACACGAGCAAAGATGTTTAAAGCATCAACCTAATTTTTAAATCGTTAGATCGGTTAATACAATCAGAAATGAAGTGGCTAGTTGTATAATGGACACACTGTACATTGAAACATCTGTGACGCAATTTAGATAAAACTTCCCTCCCCTAGTGGTTATAATTTTATGTAAAGATATACAGGGTGGCGATTTTTACCTTTTCATGGTTGTGACCGTGGCAGGGTTAAATTTGTGAAGACTACTTTACGTTGTGGGAATCGATATTCCGAGTTAATTTACACCGTTTAGAAATAACTGATTTATTATTAATATTAAGTCAGACAAACTAAAAAGAAAGAAAGTGGGATCAGACGCCAAACACAGCGTTCTTTGATTAATTTTTCAGAATGAATTTTGTTGTTTGTTGTTTTCTACTAAAACGGTAAAAAAGGTGAATTTTAAGTTTGATGGAATTTTTTAAATCCCTGAAAATTGGCAAGAGAAATAATATATAATAACAATATTTTAGCGTGATGTTGACTCGTTCAATCAGAATATCTTTTTCAAAAATATTTAAATATATAAAGCATAATATAATTTGCATTAAGTAATGAAACAAGAAATCAGGGAACAAATAAATATAAATCCTCAAAAAGTAAGATTTTTTGGCAACTTTTCCTAAAGCAAAATTTTCCAAAATCCTACCGATCACAATTTCTTTGGTAGCTTTTACCATTTTTCCAAAATCGTTCTTAAAATTTTGCATTTTTTAGAATTAAATTTTTTTTTCAAATCGAATATTCTTAAATCTTGCAAAGGGAGCATAAACACGCCATGTCTTTGAAATCAGTATAATGAAATCTATGTCTCAGAATTTTAAAGAATTTTCTGGCCACTTTTTCAAAAGCAAAATTTTCAAAAACCCCACCTACAAAAATTTCGGTCAATTCTCGACAATTTCGGTCGATTTTCAACAATTTTCACAGTCTAACCAAACACATTGATTTATAGATTTCGACCTCCAGATGTTGGTTTCAGACCCATTTCTTCGATAACTCCTACCGTTTTTCTACAATCGCTAATTGTTAGATATATGGCGATATTTTTCCAAAATCTTCTACCAATAACACGTTACATTTTTGGAATCAGTGCGCCGAAATCTATGTCCCTGAATTTTTTAGTAATTTTCCGACAACATTTTCAAAAACAAAATTCCTCAATACACTCGCCTTATGAAAATTTTGGCTCATTTTCGACTATTTTTGAAATTGAATGAAAGACATTTTCTTGAAGATTTCGACCTCCAGATGCTACTTCGATAATTCCCACCGTTCTTTTAGAATCGTCAATTGAAATAAGGCAGTTTTTATGATTTTTCAAAAAACTTGAACTCCAAACCGAACTACATATTTTAAAATTTTGCCCCGAGGCCGTAACACGATATATTTCTAGAATCAGTGCGTCGAAATCTATATCCCTGAATTTTTTGGAAATTTTTCGGCAATTTTTTCAAAAACAAAATTTGTCACTATGAAAATTTCGGTAAATTTTGGACAAATTTCGTAATTCAACCAGACATTTTTTTCGGGGCCATTTCTTCGATAATTCCCATCGTTCTTCCAGAAACGTCAAGTGAAATAAGGCAATTTTTACGATTTTTCAAAAAATTTGGATTCCAACCCGAACAATTCCAAAATTTTGCACCGGAGCCATAAACAGGCTATATTCTTAAAATCAGCGCGTCGAAGTCTATATCCCTGAATTTTTTAGGATTTTTTCGGGAACTTTTTCAAAAACAAAGTTTCTCAGTATTACGAAAATTTTGGCCCATTTTCGATCTTTTTCGAAATTCAACCAAAGATATTTTCTTGAAGATTTCGACCTCCAGAAGCTATTGTCGGGCCAATTTCGTCGGTACCTTCTACCGTTCTTCCAGAATCGCCAATTGAGATATGGCAATTTTTTTGATTTAAAAAAAAAATGGATTTCAAACCGAATAATTCTAAAATGTTGTCAGGGACCATAAAGACGCTATATTTTTAGAATGAGCGCGTCGAAATATATCTCCTTGAATTTTTTAGGAATTTTTCGCCATCTTGATAAACAAAATTTTTCAATACGAAAATTTTCCTTTTTTGACCATTTCTAGAGTTCAACCAAAGACAATTTCTTGAAGACTTCGACCTCCGGCACCATTTCTTTGATAACTCCTACGGTTGTTCCAGAATCGCCAATTGAAATACGGCAATTTTTATGATTTTTGAAAAAAATTGGATATCAAACCGAATATTTCTAAAATCTTGTACCGGGGCCATAAATACTCTGTATTTCTGGAATCACCACGTCGAGATCTATATCCTAGAATTTTTTGCTAATTTTTAGGCAACTTTTTCAATATCCTCCTCTTATGAAAAGTTCAGCCCCTTTTCGTCCATTTTCTTCAACCAAAGATATTTTCTTGAAGATTTCGACCTCCAGAAGCTACTTTCGGGCCTATTTCTTCCACAATTGCCACCATACTTCCAGAAACGTCAATTGAAATAAGGCAATTTTTAAGATTTTTCAAAAAATTTGGATGTCAAACCTAAGAATTCCAAAATCTTCCACCGGGGCCATAAACACACTATGTCTTTAGAATCAACGTGTCGAAATCTAGGTATTCGATTTTTTTGGAAATTTTTCGGCAACTTTTTCAAAAACTAAATTTCTCAAAACACCCCATAATGACAATTTTTGGCCCATTTTCGACCATTTTCGACCATTTTCGAGATTCTACCAAAGATATTATCTTCAAGTTTCGACTCGAAGAACCCACTTTCGGGCCCATTTCTTCGATAATTCCCATCGTCCTTCCAGAAACGTCAATGAAATAAGGTAATTTTCATGATTTAAAAAAAAAATTAGATTTCAACCGAATAATTTCAAAATTTGGGACCGGGGTATTAATTCACTATATTTTTGGAATCAGCGCGTCGAAATCTATGGCCCTGAATTTTTTGAGAATTTTTCGGCAACTTTTTCACAAACAAAATTTTTTTTTATGAAAATTTCGGTCCATTTTCGACCATTTCCGAAATGCAACCAAAGATATTTTCTTTAAGATTTCGACCTCCAGAAGCTACTTTCGGCCCATTTCTTCGATAATTCCCACCGTTCTTCCAGAAACGTCAATTGAATAAGGCGATTTTTAAGATTTTTCAAAAAAATTGGATTTCAAACCGAATAATTCCAAAACCCACTACCGGGGCCATAATCAGGGTATATTTTTGAAATCAGCGTGTCGAAATCTATATCCCTGAATTTTTTGAGAATCTTTCGGTAACTTTTTCAAATACAAAATTTTTCAAAACCCTCCTTATGAAAATTTCGGCCCATTTTCAACCATTTTCGAAATTCAACGGAAGCCATTTTCTTGAAGATTTCGTCCTCCACAAGCTACTTTCGGGCCCATTTCTTCGATAATTCCCACCGTTCTTCCAGAAGCGTCAATTGAATAAGGCAATTTTTAAGATTTTTCAAAAAAATATGATTTCAAACCAATTTCAAAATCTACTACCGGAGCCATAAACAGGGTATATTTTTAAAATCAGCGTGTCGAAATCTATATCCCTGAATTTTTTGAGAATTTTTCGGTAACTTTTTCAAATACAAAATTTTTCAGTACCCTCCTTATGAAAATTTCGGTCCATTTTCAATCATTTTCGAAATTCAACGAAAGCCATTTTCTTGAAGATTTCGACCTCCAGAAGCTACTTTCGGGCCCATTTTTCAAAAAAATATGATTTCAAACCGAATAATTCCAAAATCTACTACTGGGGCCACAAACACGGCATATTTTTGAAATCAATGTGTCGAAATCTATATCCTTAAATTTTTTGAGAATTTTTTGGCAACTTTTTCTTTTAAAATTTTTCAATGAAAATGAAAATTTCGGCCAATTTTCGAAATTTAACTAAAAGCATTTTTTGACTTTCAGAAGTTAGTTTCAGCCTCATTTCTTCGATAGTTGATATCATTTTCAAGGTTAAAAAAATTTAAAAGTCTAAAAACTGAAGAATGGAAAAGTTGAAAAATCGAAAATTCAAATAATCGAAAATCAAAAATCCGAAAAATCGAAGAATTAAAGAATTGAAAACTCGAGAGTTTGAAAAGGAAACACATTGAAAATTCGATTATTACCGAAAAACCGAAATTTCGCAAATCTGGAAATCGAAAATCGAAAAACCGTAAAATCAAAAATTCGAAATCGAGATTTCGAAAAATCCAAGAATCAAAATATCGAAAAATCTGAAAGTCGAGAAGTGGAAAAATCGAGAAATCAAACCGTCGGAAACTCAAGAAATCTAAGAATTGATTAATTAAAAATCGAAAATTTAGAAACGCCAAAAATTGAAATATTGAAAAACCAAAAAATTTAAAAATCCAAAAATTGAAAAATCGTAAAATCGAAATCTTGGAAAATACAGAAATCGAAACAAACAAATTTCGACAATTTTCGAAATTTTACTGAAGACAGTACTTATGGATTTCCACCTCCAGAAGTTATTTTCGACCTCATTTTCTCGATAACTCCTATCATTTTTTCCATCACCCAGTGATATATTCCATTTTTTTTTGATAAAAAAAAACTGTTTTCAAACTGGATATTTTTAAATCTTGCACCGGGAGCATAAACATGGTTTCTTTTTAGAATGAGTACAACGAAATCTATATCCCAGAATTTTTTGAGAATTTTTTCGCCACACTTCTACGAAAATTTCGGCCAATTTTCAAAATTTAACTAAAAGCATTTTTTGACTTTCAGAAGCTAGTTTCAGCCTCATTTCTTCGATAGTTGATACAATTTTCTTTTATTCCTAAATATCCAAGGTTAAAAAAAATTAAAAGTCTAAAAACTGGAGAATGGAAAAATTGAAAAATCGAAAATTCAAATAATCGAAAAACAAAAATTCGAAAAATCGAAGAATTAAAGAATTGAAAAGTCGAGAATTTGAAAAGGAAACAAATTGAAAATTCGATTATTATCGAAAAACCGAAAATTCGCAAATCTGGAAATCGAAAATCGAAAAACCGTAAAATCAAAAATTCGAAATCGAGATTTCGAAAAATCCAAGAATCAAAATATCGAAAAATCTGAAAGTTGAGTAGTCGGAAAATCGAGAAATCAAAAAGTCGGAAATTTAAAAAATCTAAGAATTGATTAATTAAAATATCGAAAATTTAGAAACGCAAAAATTGAAATATTGAAAAATCGTAAAATCGAAATATTGGAAAATAGAGAAATCGAAACACAAAATAATTTCGGTCAATTTTCAAAATTTAAAAGCTTTTTTCGACTTTCAGAAGTTAGTTTCAGCCTAAATGTCCAAAAGGTTTTCAAATAATACAAAAGCCACAATGATCTTAAAAAACCAACGATTTTAAGAATCTAAGAGTTGCGAGTTGGAAGATTTTGGAATTTTTGATACTCATGTGCACCAAAATGGAAAAATTTGATCTTTAAAAATGAGCATTTTTCGAAATTTCTGGGAACGGTTTTAGAAGATGAATTTCGAAATTAGACATTGATTTTAATATCAAAAAATCTGTATTTGAAATTTGAATTTTAATCGTACAGATTTTTGGTTCTAAGTGTACAAGAGCCTGTTTTCAAATTCTGCAATCTTTTGACACTTTGAAAATAAGGACTTCACACTTGTTCTCCGGCCTAATCAATAAGTGTACACAATAGAGATAAACTGACCTTTTAGTAAAACTTGGATATTTTGACCATACCGAGCGAAAAATTCCCACTAACCCACTTCGAGTGGACTTAAAAATTCTCCCCGCCCCTCCTCAAACCCACCCCCCATCGCCAAGAACTCAAACCGCTCCTACAAAAACTCGAACTCGTTTAGAAACTTCCAGCATTGATAAAATCGGCAATGATGCCACTTGAATAAATCAATGAACAGCGCGCATCCACTTTCTGTTTCCCTTTGTCCCGAGTTTCTCTTCATTGATACGCGTCGATTTCCCTGAGCATCTTCGCCGCTTTTCCCGACCTGGAGCAGCACTCCACTCGAAACTGTCATAATCGGCTCCGTTACTCCGAGCACCGAACGAAAATGGTGAAACCGGCGAGTTCAAGCGCCCGCAAGTGGGTCAGGATCAGCCGCACTACGCACCCGATTAGCGTCCGCTTGAAAAGCAGAAACTCGCTTTCCACACTGAGCAGAATTTATTTGATACAACCTACAAAAATATCTACGCTAAAGCCCCTCGTTGTAGCCGCACTTGTTGCACTGCTTCGAGGAGAGGAGGTAGCAGCAGAGGAGGCCGCAGGGGAAGCAGACGAGCCAGAGGAGGCCGCACTTGGTGTACTTCCTCTTGACGGTGCCGACGCGACACACGGGGCAGTTGGCTTGGAGCTCCAGATTGGTGCTCTGGGTCTCTGGAAAGGGACAGAGGGGGTGAGGGGGCTGGCGGCGGGGCCGGGGGCGTACCCGAGGGGTCCGGGAGCGTGTCTGCCTGCGCGGCGGTCTCCTCAGCTGTTGGCATGTTCGTCCGGGAACCCATGGCGCTTTTTGCTCTTGGGAGCCGCGAAGGGGGACAAACTGGGTCTGTGGAGAAGTCGGCCTTTGGTGCTGGGTTTAGTGCTGCAGGTCATGGAGCGGTCTGGGTTTGATGGGGTGTTGCGGCATTTTGAAGGACAGGCGACTTTGACAACGGATTGACAACGGGCTGTCAAAATGCGGGAAAAAGGAGGTTGAGTTGACAATTATTGTCCGTATTGGGGAAAATTTGGTCGAGCAGGAAGGCTACAAGTTCGACGAATTGGTAAAAGAAAAAGGATCTCAAGTTGTGGATCTAAAAAGTGATGGAAGTATCTAACGTGGGTTGGATAACTTAACGTCAAATTGTTTGTCTAGACAAATAAAAAAACTGGAGCACTCTCCTGGTAATTTTTTTGGAGTTTTTCCACTACCAAAATTACTAAATTTTTTCAAAAACGTACTAAATTCACTAACTTGTTATCTCTAGATATGGGTAGTTTGATATGTCGGAATTTCCAGAAAGATCTTCTGGTATGTTTAAACTGAAGAGGATTCTTTCTCTTACAATAATGTGGATAAAAAAAAATTCCCTGGCTCTTGGTAGTAAAACCCGCATCTGGAAAAATTTGATTTTGCAGTTTTTTTCCCCTATAAAGTAAATAATAACTCCGAAATTGAAAAATTGGAATATCGAAAAGTAAAAAAAATTAAAAAATCGAAAAACTGAAGAATGGAATTGAAAAGTTGGGATATTAAGAAGTAATTGAAATGTCTAAAAACTGAAGAATTAAAAAATTGAAAAGTCGACAAATCGAAAAGGAAACAAATTGAAAATTCGAAAATCGAAAAACCGAAAATTCGAAAATCGAAAAGCCGAAAAATCTAAAATTCGAGATGCCGAAAAATGGAGAAATCTAAAATTTAGAAACGCCAAAAATAAAAATATTGAAAAATTGACAAATCCTAAAATTGAAATATGGGAAAATAGAGAAATCGAAAATTCGAAAAATCATACAGCGAAAAATCGAAAGTAGAAAGATTGAAAATTCGGGTGTCAAAAATCAAAAACTCGAGAGATAAAAAAATCGAAAAAAGTAATAAAATAATTGACAAATCTAAAAGCTGAAGAATGGACAAATTGAAAACCGAAAAGTAAAAAAATTGAAAAGTCTAAAAACTGAAAAATTGGAAATTGAAATATGTAATCAAATATTGAAAATTCGGAAAATCGAAAATTTCAAAAATCGAGGAATTAAGAAATTGAAAAGGAAACAAATTGAAAATTCCAATATTGAAAAATCGGAAAACCAAAAATCAAAATATAGAAAAATCTAAAAGTCGAGAAATCGAAAAATTGAGAAATCGAAGAGTCGGAAAATCGAGAAATCGAAGAATCGATTAATTGAAAAATCGAAAATTTAGGAACGCCAAAAATAGAATTATTGAAAAATCAAAAATTTTCAAAATCGAAAAGTCTTAAAATTGAAAGATCAAAAATTGAGAAATTAAAAAATCAAAAAATTGAAATGTATAAAAATTGGAAAATCGAAAAATTGAAAAATTGCAACAGAGCAATTGGAAAATTCAAACATTGAGAAATCGAGAAATGGAAATAGCCCAAAATTTAAAAAATGAAGTGAAAAATCGAAAAAATTAAATATACAAATTGAAAAATCGAAAAATTGAAATTTTAAAATTGAACAATCGAGAAACTGAAAAATTCCAGAACTGAGATATCGAAAAATTGAAAAACAAGAAATGGAAAAGTCGAAAAAAGGTCTAGAAAAATTTAAAAATCGAAAAATCGAAAATCGGAAAGCCGAACAATCATAAATTCGAAAATGAGATTTCGAAAAATCCAAGAATCGAAATATTGAAAAATCTAAAATTCGAGATGCTGAAAAATGGGGAAATCTAAAATTTAGAAACGCCAAAAATAAAAATATTGAAAAATGAAAAAATATAAAAATTGAAAAATTGAAATATGGGAAAATAGAGAAATCGAATAATAAAATATCCAGAAATCTAAAAATCGAAAAACCGAAAATTTTAAAATTCGAAATCGAGATTTCGAAAAATCCAGGAATCGAAATATAAAAAAAATGAAAAATCTGAAATCGAAAAATGGAAAATTCCAAAATCGAAAAATCCAAATTAAAAAAATTCCACTGTCGAAATTTTTAAAATGAAAATATCGGCAAATAGAGAAATCGAAAAATGAAAGACTTACAGAATCGTAAATTCTAAAAATCAAACATCGAAAAATTGAAAATTCGAGTGTCAAAAATCGAAAACTCGAGAAATAAAAAAATCTAAAAAAATAATAAAATAATTCAAAATTCGGAAAATCGAAAATTTCAAAAATCGAGGAATTAAGAAATTGAAAAGTCGAGAAATCGAAAAGGAAACAAATTGAAAATTCGAATATTGAAAAATCGAAAAACCAAAAATTTGGAAATCTAAAAATCGAAAAACCGAAAATTCAAAAATTCGAAATCGAGATTTCGAAAAATCCAGGAATCGAAATATAAAAAAATGAAATATCTGAAATCGAAAAATCGAAAATTCCAAAATCGAAAAGTCTAAATTAAAAAATTTCATTATCGAAATTTCGAAAATAAAAATATCGGAAAATAGAGAAATTGAAAAATAAAAGAATTAAAAAATCGTAAATTCGAAAAATCAATCATCGAAAAATTGAAAAGTAGAAAAATTGAGAATTCGAATGTCAAAAATCGAGAGATAAAAAATCGAAAAAAATAATAAAATAATTGACAAATCTAAAAACTGAAGAATGGAAAAATTGAAAACCGAAAAGTAAAAAAATTGAAGTCTAAAAACTGAAAAATTGGAAATTGAAATATGTAATCAAAAATTGAAAATTCGGAAAATCGAAAAGGAAACAAATTGAAAATTCGAATATTGAAAAATCGAAAAACCAAAAATTTCAAAATTTAGAATTCGAAAAACCGAAAAAGTTAAAATTCGAAACTGAGATTTCGAAAAATGCAGGAATCGAAATATCAACAATGAAATATCTGAAATCGAAAAATCGAAAATTCCAAAATCTAAAAATCTATATTAAAAAAATTCCACTGTCGAAATTTCGAAAACGAAAATATCGGAAAAAATAGAGAAATCGAAAAATAAAGGAATTAAAAAATCGAAAATTCGAAAAAATCAAACATCGAAAAATTGAAAAGTAGAAAGATTGAAAATTCGAGGCTTGAAAGTCGAAAACTTGAGAAATCAAAAAATCGAAAAGTAAAATAATGGAGAAATCGAAATAATCGAATAACTGGAATTGAAAAATCGGGATATTGAGAAGTAAAAAAATTGAAATGTCTAAAAAGTGAAGAATTAAAAAATTGAAAAGTTTAAAAACAGAAGAATGGAAAAATTGAAAAATCGAAAATCGAAAATTCGAAAAATGCAAAATTCGAAAATCTGAAAATCGAAAAACCGAAAAATCAAGTTCAAAATCGAGATTTTTAGATCGAAGAACCGAAATATAGATAAAACGGAAGTCCAAAGTCGAAACATCGTAAATTCCGAAATTGAAAAATCTAAATTAAAAAAATTCCACCATCGAAATTTCGAAAACTGAAAATTTGAAAAATCGAGAAATCGAAATATCAAATCAAAAAACCTAAAATTAAAATATCGAGAAACTGAAAAATCCTGAATTAGAAAAATTTTAAACATTAAAAAAAACGACAAATCAAAAAAAACGAAAAACGGAAAATTAAAAAAATTGAAAAATCGAGAAATTCAAAATTTCTGTAACTGAAATGTAGGAAAATTGGGAAATCGAAAAATTGAAAAATCGGAACATCAAAAAATTGTAAAATCGAAAAGTCGAAAATATGAGAAATTGAAAAATCGAAACATCGATCAATTGACAAAATTATTAAAAACAAAAATCGGGAAATGGTAATATGAAAAACATCGAAATCTCGACGAATCGAGAAACTGAAAAATTGATAAAATTGAAAAATATAAATAAAAAAAATTGGAAAATCGAAAAATTGGAAAATCTAAAAATCGAGAAATCGAAATAGTTCAAAATCGAAAAATTAAAATTTGAAAATTTCAGAAATTTAAATAAAAAAAAATCGGAAAATCGTAAAATGAAAAATTCGAAACATCGAAATCTCGATAAATCGAAAAATTGATCAAACTGAAAAATCGACAAATTGAACAATCGAAAAACTGAAAAATCAAAAAATTGAAAAGTCGAAGAAAAATTGAGGAGTCGAAAAACAGAAAAATCTTCAAACTGGAACAACGAAAAATTGAGATGTCGAAAAATTGAAAAAGGACAACTGGAAAAATCGAAAAATTAAAAACATGAAAAATCGAAGAAATTCAAGAAATGAAAATCTGAAAATCGAAAAATCGACAAATCGAGAAATCGGAAAATCAAAATATAGAAAAGTCTAAAAGTCGAGAAATCGAAAAATTGAGAAATCGAAGAGTTGGAAAATCAAGAAATCTTAGGATCGATTAATTGAAAAATCGAAAATTTAGGAATGCCAAAAATGAAATATTGAAAAATCAAAAATTTTCAAAATCGAAAAATCTTAAAATTGAAAAATTAAAAATTGAGAAATTAAAAAATCAAAAAATTGAGATATTCGAATATCGAAAAATTGAAAATTACCAAAATTGAAATGTATAAAAATTGGAAAATCGAAAAATTGAAACATTGAAACAGAGCAATTGGAAAAACCAAACATTGGGAAATCGAGAAATCGAAATAGCTCAAAATTGAAAAATTTTAATTTAAAAAGAAAATCGGAAAATCAAAAATGGAAAATTCGAAGTCTAGATAAAACTAGATATCTCAAAAATTGATAAAACTGAAAAATCGAAAATTTAAATACAAATTGAAAAATCGAAAAATTTAAATTTTAAAATTGAACAATCGAGAAACTGAAAAATCAAAAAATTGAAAAATCGAAGAATAATTGAGGAATCGAAAACGAGAAATTCCAAAACTGGAACAACGAAAAATTGATAAACAAGAAATGGAAAAGTCGAAAAAGGTCTGGAAAAATCGAAAATCTGAAAATCGAAAAATCGAGAAATTGAGAAATGGGAAAATGAAGATATGGAAAAATTTAAAAATCGAAAAATCGAACAATTGAGAATTCGAAAAATCGGAAAATCAAGAAATCTAAGAATTGATTAATTGAAGAATCGAAAAGAAACACCAAAACTTGAAATATTGAAAAATCAAAATTTTTAAAAACCGAAAAATCGACAAAGCGAGAAATGGGAAAATCAAAGTATAAAAAAATGTAATAGTCGAAAAATCGAACAATTGAGAAATCGAAAAGTTGGTAAATAAAAAAAATTATGAATTGATTAATTAAAAAAT